AAAAATTGTCAGTCTGTATGTTTGTTTGTTCCGGCTTATCTTCAAAACGGCTGAACCAACTTTCACTTGGACGGGATATCTGATGTTATAAGGAGTAACTTAGGCTACTTCTATTTTAGAAACAGATTTAGGGTTCCGCACAAAAAAAATTTAAAACCCATGAAATTCACTATCGAAGTAATTTTCAAGTCAATATGGAGGGTACAGGTAAAGAAAAGAGAATATAACAATTTTTGTTTTTTTTTTGTTTTGTACTGATAATGAATCTATGACTATGGTACTTCCATTTCCAACCACTGGTTTTTACAAATACTCAACGGATATCGCTAAAAATACGTTTTTATCTATGCCCAAAGCGAAAAGAACTGGGAATGTCCATGACATACCGGTAAAAAAAGGAGGATTGTCCAAAAATCTACGCAGTAAAAACTTACTGCATTTTTTACTTACTGACGACACGTTTGGCTCAGTTTGTAGTGACCCTACTTGCTGTGCCAGCGGTCGCGGGTTCGAGTCCCCTGTGAGCATTCATTTGTGTGATGAGCACGAATGTTTGTACTCCAGTCATGGGTGTCTATATTTATAATATGTATGTTGTTGTATGTATTAAAAGTTATATGTGTAGTGTATCAACTATCTGGTATCCAACACAAGCCTCGTAGCTTACCATGGAACTAGATGGTGATGTGTGTTAATGTCCCAACATATTTATTTATTATTTATTTATATTTACTTCTAAACTTTAAATTGCTTTGTTCTCATACTTTATTCATTAGGATATTTCTTGTTCTTTGCCTGTACCCTACATATAGTCCACTACATGTATCTATTTATATATTCATGACAGCCTCTGGACCATTATGTACTATATAAGTATCTAACTTTCATCTCATCTGTCAAAGATTCACTTGAAGTTCTTCATTAACTGTTCTTATTTATAAAAATTATTGACGAAAAAGAAATCAAAATGCAGAAGAAGACTGACTAAAACATATAGATATATTCTATATTATTTTTTATCCGCGGCTTCACTCACGTGATGGCGTTCAATGCTAGCCTATGTCCGTTCTCAATATGCAATCTATGTCCTTGCAAAAATTTATCGAAATCTGTTCAGCAGTTTAAGCCTGAAAAGATAATAGACAGTTACTTCCAGATTTGTAATTTGTTTGTTTTGTTTGTAATTTGATTGGTGTATGTAATTTTTTTATTTATTTTCTTTAAATGTAACATAATACTGTTTGTCTTTCAAATAAATAAATAATATTAGTATGGATTTAAAAAACACAGTTAGTACAAAAAAAAATTTCTGTATACGTACCGATAGCAAATATTTTCTTTTCCTATAAAATATATATAAAAAACATTGATAGATTGTCCCAACTAAGTTTTCCTTGGCAAGGATACCCGGACAGAGGTTGATTATGATTGATGCGAGTTGACAGCTACATGCCTAATGGCATACTTGTAGTGATTGAAATCGATATTTTTTTCCTATACCTCTGTATCGATATTCTACCGAATTCTACTTTCTTATTTTTCATCATAATTTTCTGCTAGAACGATTCTTTGCTTAGTAGGTAATTTCAAAAATCCATCATCACATGAGCTCAATGTTCAGCAGCAATTACAACGTAACTATGTCCTACAGCTGGTCGATTCCGGCCACGGAGACCAATCTCACTGAGACTAGCCATCGCAGCGCCAGCGCAGGAGATATTATAGTACACAAGTGTACGCGCAGACGCAACAAGCACTCTCTATTCCTTTTTTCTCCTAAAGGCCGATGGGGCGATACTTCAACACGATAGGTGAGAGTGAAGCGCAGGACCGACGTTTTGACATGCTTTCCGACTTATGCGAGTAAGTCGACGACGTTTCAACCCCAGCTACTAAGAATTTCTCATAAAAACGCAATGACTAAATTTGGCCCGACTCGAGAGTCGAACTCAAGACCCACGGATCTGCTGCGCTACATGCTAGTCACTAGACCACTGATGCAGTTACGAATATGCATAGAACATATAACCTATTAACGAGTTACCCTCGCGTTACATAAATGCTTATTATTTTTAAAGTAAAACTTCTTTAAGCTGAGTCAATACATTGGAAAGATGAGTGGCGCGGATGTTAGAGTCATATTTGATATTAATATGTAATAAAAAAAAATATTTTTTTATAATTATATTATTTATAAAAAAATATATTTATTATAAATAATTTTATAAAAAATATTATATTTGTATTTAGGTTTTTATTTTATTTTAATTTCATTGCGGTATCTGCCACAGCGCCAAAGAAGTTTTACTTCAACCGCGCTTTTTTCTTGTATGATTTATCCTATAAAATCTATATAGAAATTATAGGACAGAATCGTGACTCACTAGTACTGCAAATTCGAAAGTTTTTATATATGTGTATGTGTGTGATTCTGAAGGGAGTTGGATGAAATTTGCGCCATAGGTGGATAAAAGGCAAAATATCACGTTTTTTGTACAAAAACAAATATAAAATAAAATACAAAAAACCACATAGGGACGCACTCAAGTGCGAGAATTATATATAAAATATCTTTTATCGATATTCATTTATCCATCACTAAAATTTTCCCCACAAAAAGCGATCTGGTAATTTCTTAATAGCACAATGACGGGTCAATAGCTTTGTTAGACTAAGTATTTTCACTATTAGACGATTTGGACTCAATATTTTCGCACATTGTTATACTAATATTATTCATGAATGAGAAATTAATTTCGAATGCTAGCTAGCTTTCGCTTGCAGTTCTGCTCGCCTAATTTATTTTTGTACTAGCGTCTTCTTCCGGCTCCGTCCGCCTTGTTTAATTTTGTAGAATTACTCCGCTCAAGTAGGTCGTAGTGTAATATAAGGTTGTTACATTTTAATAATAATATAAACTAATCATAAATTATTATTAATGATAGAAGGAGACGAGATAGAGAGAGGAGGATAAGAAGAAAAATTTAAAAAAAAACGACTTCCAGGCACTAAAATGTAAAAAATAACTAAACGGGGGTTTTCATTTAGAATAGATACCTAATCAGATATTTTCGAAGTCGGTACTAGCCGACGCATAGGAAATCTAATCGGCGTATATATTTATATATATATATATATATATATATATATATATATATATATATATATATATATACCTATATAGGTATTTTCACCCCCTTAAGGGATGATTTCCGGGATGAAAAGAATCTCATGTCTTTTCCAGGCTCTCAAACTATTTTCTTACTAAATTTCATCTAAATCGGTTATGTAGATCCAGAGATTACCCACTTTTTTTTTTTTATGTCGGGAAATGCATTTACGCATACCACCTGATCCCCCAGGTGGTGATGTGGGGCTCACCGGCTAGAAGAGCCGGCACTACCCACTAAAAATGTATATATATACATTTTTTTTAACGTAACTGATGCGGAGCCGGCGAATCGAAACTTCACGTTTTTGGCAAAGGATGCTTCGACTACCATAGATAATATTATTTTAAAGCGCAGGCGTTTTGAAAAAAATATAATTGACCTAGGTACAAGTACAACACTGTTCAAGGTACAACAAGTTCCCCAATAATCTTCCCCAATAAAAAAGCTACGAAATGCAAAAAAATGTTCGAATCTGACCAGAAATTCATCAGTCATTTTTTTTTATCCATCGCAAACGTAGGCACGAATTGAATTAGTAATTAAAAAAAATGACAACCAAGACCATTACGGTCATATAATAGTTTGACTAGCTAGACTTTTCATGTTCACAGAAAGCGGGATGATCCCTGTAGTATTCAATGGGCAATTTTCATTCAGTTTTATTCATTCAGGGATATGTTTGGAATATAAAAAGATGAAATTAGAGTGCGTTTTCTAAAGCCTGGTTAACGGTCATCCTCGATACACGTTAGCGAGAGCTTTATTTTTTTTTAATTGAAAAAATATATTTTGTAAGCATTTCATATTAAGGTTTAAAAACTAAAAAGGAGATCCGCAAATACGGGTCTACTAAGGCCTTATTACTAGCAGCGATTTCTGTTTCTTCAGGGCTAGCCTAAAAGCCAATAAAATATACAAAAACTATATTTTATTGAAATATCTCGACAGTTCCTAACATTTTTGTATCTAAAGTTCCAACTGATGTACTAAAATGAAGCAAAAAACTTCCATATTTAAATTTATGTACGAATAATAGAGTGATATATCCTCAGTACTATTTACATTTAAATTATTCCTGTTCGTAAAGAAGAATCCTTCTATACAAACTTTATAAATGCAAATGTAGCTCTATATGTCTGTTTTTTTTGTTTTCTCCGTCTTCTTCCTTAAACTGTTGAACTAATAATGACAAATTTTGAGAATCATATGGATTGGATGTTTAAGAAAGACATAGACTGCCTTTTGTTGTATTGAAGTATTATATATTACCCGCTGGTAACTTGTTTTCCCATACAAAATTTCATCCCCATTTTCACCCCCTTAAGGGATGATTTCCAGGATGAAAAGAATCTTATGTCCTTTCCAGGCTCACAAACTATCTTCTTACCAAATTTCATCTAAATCGGTTCTGTAGATCCAGAGATTACGCCCTACAACCTCACAAACTAACAAACTTTACCTCTTTATAATACTAGTATAGATATGAATTGAATGAACAAAAAAATTGTTTGAAATCAATAGATCAAAGAGCTCACAGATACAGTACATAATCATCTTTCACAATATGTGAATATAAGTAACATAACCTTAACAAAACAAATGATAGAGTTAAAATACCAATATAGCTTATGAATCAACATTTTATGTTAACAACATTTATTATGTATTGATTAACTCGGTATACATAACCACTCTTAAAAATATTAGTCAATGAAAGTTTTGCTGCTAAACATATACCATTCATCTGATAGCTTAAGCTATGTTTATACCAAATAACATTTAGTTGTAATCTTTTTTATTTATCGTCTTCTTTTTCTACATTCTTTAGTTCATCATCACCTTCAAATCTGCATTATTTTTATTTACCTCATCTGGCTTTGTATCGGAAACTAGTGGTTTTGGAACTTCTGGGTTCTCTTTATCTTGTTGACCTTCTTCTGTTTCCATTCTTCGTCTAATTTCTTCTATTTTCTTATCCAAATCTTTCTTTTCCTTTACTCTCTTCAAACGAAATGTTTCTTCTCTTTCTTTCTCTTCTAATTCACCGAGAATATAGTGCGACGTTACATTTAGTCTTGGTATAACAATTTTCGATAGTACATTACATTTTCTGAAACAGAAAAACTTTGTATTAAATTTGTTACATATATAATACCTATAATATAATTATTAAATAACTAATTTTAATAATCTGATATTACATAATACCATAGGAAAGTCTGTTTGATCGGGCCAATCTCCGGAAACGCTGTAACGAATTTATTATGCTTAACGCCAGTGGTAGAGATTAAAATTGATTTCATATATATTATGAAGAAAAAAATAATTAATAGACACGGATAAATATCTTTTAACTTAATCGTACACTAGCTTAAACATCACTTTATAATTAATATATACTAGCCACTGCCTAGTGAAAGGGAACTTAGTTGCAACAAAAATAAATCTATCCCACGGGAACCGTACATTTTACCGGGATAAAATTTACCTATGTGCTATTCCAGACTATAATCCGTTTGTGTCATGGATTAAAAAAAATACTAGATACATTTTTTTTAATCCATGACTAGCTACAAATTCCCATGCAAAAATAAAGTGAAAATTAAAGCTGATTTCTATTCTGGCAATTAAAGAAAATTAAACTAAAATCAAAACTAAAGCTGTCTGTCACCAATTGTGTTAAAGGTAAATTATTCACACAAAAAAAAAAATTTAAAAGCGCGCTCAAATGTTCACATGAGCGTTTATTCGATGAGGACATTTTTTATCTAGAATTTCTTTCATCGATGTTCTCTGTGCCAAAGTTCGTCCAGCCGTTCTGAAATTCTGGCGTGATTGAGTAACAAACATCCAAACATTCAACTATCCAAACATCTAAACTTTCACTTTTATTATTAGTGAGATACTACTCAAAACAAAATACGGCCCACTCAGTTTTTCTTGCGTAATTTTAAATTAAATAAATTTAGTTGTAGTAGTTGAATAGATGTTTAAGTTTGGCATTTACAAATATTAACATTTTAGTGTTTATTTTTTTTTTATTTAGTTACGATAACTAACATTCATATTCAAACTGGCGAATAGAGCGCTTAAAGAACTTTGACCAAAATCATTCAAAAAATTGTTTTTAGATATATGCTAATAGCGAATAACAAGGACCTTCTCGGCACCGCATCCACTCTCTCAGTCTGTCTGAACTATAAATTAAATATCTTATGTTTTCGTTGGATATTCCTTCCCAACAGGCTTTTAAAGCGTTTATGAGCTCCTGCTGGCTATTCATGTTGCTGTAAGTTTTCTTTTCAATTGATCCCACAAAATATCACCTTGACGGATAGTTATTTCACCGTGAACGATGATTGAGTATGGTCTATTTATGTGCTATATTCATCTTAATCGGTCCAGCCGTTTCAGCGTGAAGGAGTAAAAAACATACACACACATATAGAACCTTCCGCATTTATAATAGTAGGGTGAAATCAACTTATAATACAACGTGCTCACGCCAAAAACATATAATGAATGGTCGTAGAAAATTTTAAAATCACACAGTTACATCTAAAACGAGTAAATGGCTACGACTTGGCGTATCCACTAAAAGTTTTTAAGCATAGGGTTGCCAATAAATCTGGATTTTATTATAAACTGAGTGTGTTCAATTCTTTTTAATTTTCTCTCATTCATAATATATAATAAACTTATATTTGTATTGCTTAAAACAATTTCCGTATTAAACGTAATTAACAAAATAACAAATTAACAGCCAGTAAGCTCTAGATCATAATAAATTGCTTCTGCTGGTTTTAATATTGGTGGTATTTTAAGTTTTCTTTTGAACCACCAATAGTGCACAAAGCTTCTGTTTTTGAAAATGCCTTTACTCATACCATCTGTATATATACAGATATGTGGAGACCCGCCAGTTAGAAAAGTCAATACTATCAACTAAAATCCAACGAAATCTTCCCCGTTATAATAGAGTGTCGCAAGATCGCCTTCGTACACGCCCTGAGTGCTGGTCTACCTAGAGAGATTCCAAAAACCAAGTGGACGTTGAGATCAATCACGGTCCACTATGCTATCAGAGCAAAATGAGGATACACCCCCGACCAAGATGGGCAGCCTCTCAAGTAAGGTAAGTGCGCTCCTTCCCTTTACGTGAACGTGAACTATCTATACTAAACTAGCAAAAGTATCACCAATCTATACATATAATAAACTTGTAACTAAGCCAAATCTGTACATTAAATATTTTTTTGGAAAATCTTATTGAAATAGACGTTATTATCGATACAGAGGCCGAATGTACAGTTTTTAGAATTTTTGTCTGTCTGTCTGTCTGTTACCGCATCACGGAAAAACCACTGATTTTGATGAAATTTGGTATGATGATAGCTGGTTATTCGGGTCAACATATAGGATACTTTTTACAGCGGGAAAATATATTTTCTCTGAGAAATCGATATTATACGTCAAAAACGTAAGCAGGGACGAATCCGAGCGAAGCGAGGGTGAGTCGCTAGTTATATGTATATAGATAGATGATAGTGTGCCTTAGAATTTATCTCTCAAACATCCCTTAAATTTCACTAACTCGAAACCAACTTCCATTTTGCACGAGCCTAGTGATGATTTTTGAGTAACTATAAAATAAATATTCGAATTCACAGAGTACCTATAGAATATCTCTTTCCTTATAGAATACTCCAAATGCCAACCCTAACCCTAAAACTCGAAGCGGTTAAATAACAGAGGTGTCACTCTTGTAGTCAATTAGCAGGGACAACTCTGGCTATTTTAGTTCGCTACAATATTTAATTCAGATATTAGGAAACTGTGGTTTCAAAATAGATTTTATTTGGCATATTTGATTCAAACAGTTATTTAGGCAAATTAAACGTTATGGTTTTGTTTTGATGTGACATTGTAAAGAAAGATTATGAAAATCAATATAAGATTTAATAATATGTAGAATTTTTGAGTTAAAGTAACATTATATCTACTCACTGCTGGCTTTAAAAAAATTAGCAATTTTTTTTTTATCTTTATATTCTTATAATTTTCGTTTTTATTCTCGTCTGTTAATCATACCTGAAAGTATTTACAGTAATCTTTAAAAATCATAAGCATAGATAATATGGATGGACTTTTATGTGAATAAAAGGTTTGTGTGCTGAGATAACAGCTAAAGATGAAGATGACACTACATAATGTAGAATAAACACAGGCAAGGGGTGCACTGGGAAATGGCCCATCTCGGTGAGCAATGGACCATGGGGGTAGCTCTTGGTACTTTTCTGTTAACAGAGTGGACCGTGTGAGAAATCTCTTGTTTATGGTGGTCACGTGGTACATGGTTGAGTGCGGAAGCTCCTGTTCCTCCCATATTGCGACACCCCGCCAAGACATGGTAGGTTCCGTTGGGTTTTAGTGGGTAGCACTGGTTTCTCTAGCCGGTGAGTCCCACGTAACCACATGTGCGCAGGTGGTATGCGCAAATGTATTTCCCAACGTTAAAAAAAGGATAAGCATACTAAATACAATAGTAATACGTACATACAACGCATGTATGTACGTATGTGTGTATGTTTTATATGCCTATGTGTCATTCAAACCAGGGCAAATCGCTAGTCAATCTGTCCTTAGGCTTCCTCTTCTGGACGTCTAATTCAAAAGCATTTGTGTAAGAGTCATTATGCTAATCAAATATGGGCTATCGAGGGGTACTTATATCGTAAATAACTACGGGGCGTGGTATACGAGGGCTGGGCGGGGAGATGCGTCTTAATAAAATAAGGAGGGAAAATATTTTTAACATAAAGAAAATAATAAAACTTGGGGTAGGGGTAATCTTTAATAATTATTTAGAGCAAAAAATTATAATGTCATCTGAAAATTTTCAATGTCTTGGCAGCATTAAATTCATTGTGCCCAGTGGTTTTCTCGTGATGCGTTCCCAGACAGACAGATAAGAATTCTAAAAACTATAGATTCGGCCTCTGTATTATAATAATGACTATTTCAATAAGATATTCCAAAAAATATTTTATGTACAGATTCGACTCAGAATTTTATTATATGAACATACATATATTTTTATTTAATTAGATTACGAATGAACAGATTTAATTTTGATTTTAACCGACTTCCAAAAAGGAGGAGGTTCTCAATTCGTCGGAATCTTTGTTTTTTTTTAATAAAACAATACGTTAAATATAGCTAAGTATAATTCAATTAGTTATTAAGTCCAACAAGATTGGTTTGAGCTTTCCTTAGCCTAATGGATAAGTTTTAAGCTTATTTAACTTTTTAACTGAAATAAATTGTCTGTCCGTCTATCCCACTTTTAAATAAACTTATCAAATGAATAATTCAGCCTTGACAAATACGAAGTAGTGAACTGGATGTCTTTCGAAAATTAGCGCATGCAAGTTTCCTCGAGAAGCTTTCGAACATATTCCCAAATGGTAATCATGACGTAAAAAAACGTATAGAATTAAGACATATTCAATACGTGTGAGTCTCAAAACAAACTTGGTCTTCTAAACAAACAAGTTAAAAATAAGCTACTCCTAATATACGTTGGCTCACTATTACTAGGTTCTATGTTGATTTTAATGAAGTTTAGTAATTTTTACAAAGAACTTCGTTATTTTGTTATCGTAAAAAAACAACATAGAACTATGTAAAACTGAATATTTTGTAGTTAAAGTGCCGCTGTCTAGTGGTTTGTTTTTGCAAAACTGTAGCTAATGATACAGAAACTTGTAGGATTAATAAATAAATAAGTACTAAAATTGTAACATAGAACCTTGTAATAGTGAGCCAACGATTATTATGCTATAATATATTTTTATTTATTACTAGTGATCACCCAGTGTTCGCCATTTGACCATTAAAATTTGAGGAAAACATATACATATGAATTGAATTTATCTATGTATATAAATAAAACTGTCTCAATTTTTTTTTTGTTTTTAGTACTAAAACTCTTCAATAGCTTTTTGACATAAAAAAATCGGTTGTCGAACAGAGAAGAATTAGGTGCTGAACAGTTTTGTCTTTGCCTATTTATATAGATATATCAAATATTTAAAAACAATTTTCTTTCACACAACCATTTCACACAAATTCTACCTTATACAGTATTAGTTATAATAAATCAGACCAAAACAATGGGCATTCTAGTACATAATTGATAAATATGAATTGTCTAGATCTAGTCGATATATCAATTTATTGCATATATAAATTTATATCAACATTTATAGCAAATTCGAAATAATACTCACTGACTGACTTACTAATTACGAAACCTCAAAAACTACAATAGCAAGGCTCGTAGGGTACAAAATTAAAAAGATAATAATAAGAAAGAGATCCGTTCAGTGCCATTTTCTCGTCACGTTTTTCACCCTTTTTCTTTTTTTTTTATTTGAAGTGAAAACTTCTATAGGCAGGTTTGGATGGGGAGTAAATTCGTGTATGCCGTCATTGACATGGTCACGTGACGTGTTAACGCTAACACTCAAAGTGCGCTAACAGACACTTGTCAAAACCAGATAAATGTTAACAGTTTTAATTTACAAGTTTTAATTTAAGATCACACAATTAATTTGAATATCCAAACGACCGTTTCTTTATAGTTTTAAATTTTCACTTCTGTCGGCAGTCCTCATGACTTTTTTTTTTGTTTAGTAGGTATTGACGAGCGAGATTAGTGTTATTAATAAAAAAAATATTATCGTCCAATTTCGACCACAGGACGACTAAATAGAAAACATCAGTCCATTAACAAAATGTCCAAACCAGAAACCGTATTATTAAGTTAAATTTAACATCGGTAATATTTCCGAGTATTTGATCCAAAATCAATACACGGCATATAATATTCATAATCCCCTCAACCAGATTTTAGAGTCAAAGGGAATTGTAAACTATTGGGTACATTTTTAGCTTACGACATATGTATTTTGATCGTCTGCACAAGTAAAAAACAATTGAAGCGTCCGTTTGTATTGCTCTGTCTGTCTGTCTGTTTGTTCCGGCTAATCTCCAAAACGGCTGGACCGATTTTAACGTGGCCTTCACTGACAGATAGCTAATGTTATAAGGAGTAACTGAGGCTACTTTTATTTTAGAAAAAGAATTAGGGTTTCGAGCAAAAAAATTAAAACCCACGAAATTGAAAAATCCGCGTACGGATAGGGACGCACCCAAGCTAAGTGAGGGTAAGTCGTTAGTAATAAAACTATATATAATTTTCTTTACGTTTTCTCTCTCTACTCTCATATACGGAGAGTACATAGAATTAGCATATATATAGAATAATATATTATATAATAATATCAGAGATGTTCTTTGTCTTAACTGAATAAAGACTAGGTATTAGACTGAATTGTCTACGCAAGAATCGAACCACTGATCACTGGTAAAGTAGAGAATACCAGCTAGACAAACCACACTAATATAAATACTATAGCATCAAGGTCCATAGAATTATGTAGCCCAGTCATAACGCGCTTGCTTTACGAAACGAAACCGTGTGTGAAGTGGGTTCAAATCCCGTGTCTCGCACCTCTATATTCCATACTTCCTTCCTTCCATATTTTTATGTGCGAATCATTTTCATCATTTTACATTTCTTGCCGTGCTAGCGGTCGCGGGTTCGAGTCCCGCTGGGGGCATTATTTGTGTGATGAGCACGAATGTTTGTACTCCAGTCATGGGTGTTTATATTTATAATATGTATGTATTTAAAGTTACATAATATGTGTGTAGTGTATCAACTATCTGATATCTATAACACAAGCTACGAGAGCTTACCATGGAACTAGATGGTGCTGTGTGTTAATGCCCCAACATATTTGTTTATCATGATTACCACTTACTTAGTGGTGAAGGAAAACATTGTATGGAAATCTGCCCTAACAATAAATCGAGTCGACAGCTATCAAGCAAAAAAAAAAAGAAAATCGATTAACAAACAAGGGGAAAAAGGTACTGAACTGTTCTACCTTTGTCTATTTACGAGTATGTATATATGACGATATAAACACACAGAGACAAAGTCGCAGGCGAAAGCTAATAAACTATTTTAATTGAAAATATAATATAGTGAATCGTATCGTACTCATATTTATAAAGCAATCCACCTGATCGAAAGAACGGCAAAGGCATAAATTATGCAAACCTTATCGGGCTTGTCATTAGCGTTTTAATTACAGACTGTATCTACGTCTAAATATACCTTTATATGATAAAAAATGTTAGGTAATCGATATTTTATATTATTGAACAGTTTGTTCTAGTTTTTCTTTATGGATTAAGTACTTAAATAAATTGCGTATTTGAAAGGAAACATTTTGATTATTAGTTTTTTTTTATTTGAAATTTTTATACATAACTAGCGACTTAACCTCACTTCGCTCGTTTTATTTTTTTGAGCGGTATCTTGATTCTTTTTGTAAAATAAAAGTAACTTATGTTATTCTTTATAACATCAGCTATCTGCCAATAAAAGTACCGTAAAAATCAGTCTAGCCGTTTCGGAGATTAGCCGGAACAAACAGACAGATGGCTATCTGCTTTTCCGGCTATTCATAGATAGA